AAAACAATTATCGACTGTCAGCAACTAAGCACGCGGTGGTCCTCGTGTGCTCCGGAGGCGGTCCAAAGAGTAGGAACTACTTCAAGAGCGACTGGAGACAGGGCCCAGAAAAAGGCGACCGATAAACGCGACAAAATGAGGTTCTAAAGGACCGTGGTCGACGGTCCCCGCGGCTTTAACGAGCCCAGGCGAATCGATCCTTCCTGCGGTTACACGCGAGACACCCGCGACTTGGAATTCCGAAAAGGATCGAAAAGACGAGGGACCACGCGGAACAAACGCACCGCAGGGGACGTAGGCAGACGACGTATACAGGGTGGGGCAATAACTGTGTCCACTTTGAATATTGCCGTTATTTGTAATAATATAAAAAAATGTTATATACAAAAATTACACGGTATAGAGGGGGGCATATTGTGACACAAACATTTTCTGCATGGGTGAAGGCATAGAGGAGATTTCAAGATCATCTCTATTTTGTTTTAATGGAATGCTATGTTTTTTTTATCGCGATGTGATAGCCGGGGTTGAGACGACTTCAGCGAGCTATCATTGAAGGTCATGCAAGGTCAAATGTGGTAGTGAAATAAATTTTCTTACATTACAGGAGATGCTCGAAGTGGTGACAGTTTACGTCACTGCAAAGTTGCAATCTTCGTATAAAAAAAACATAGCATTCCATTAAAAAAATGTAGAAAATGTTTGTGTCACAATATGCCCCACTCTATACCGTGTAAGTTTTGTATATAACATTTCTTCATATTATTACAAGTAACGGCAATATTCAAAGTGGACATAGTTATTGCTCCACCCTGTATAGGGTGTTGTACTTTTGTACACCATTTGATGCATTTTTTAATTCTCTACAAAAAAGTATTAAGGTACTTGGGTAGAAATATTATCAGTTTAAAAGAGTAAATTTCGTAGAATTAGTAATCACCGAGCGACGACACAGAGAAGAAACGTTCAAGCCAAAGTTCGAATATTAGACAGTACATCATCGATAAGTGTTCGAAGGCTTCTCTGTACTGAGTGTTCAAACGTTACCCCCACCACTGGGAGGTCCCTAACCAGTCGAAGACTAAATACTCAGTGCCGAGGAGCCTACGAACACTCATCAACGATTTACTGTACAATGTTCAATGTTAAAATATCTTCTAAACTAATAATTTTTCCACCGAAGTACCTTAACACTTTTTCATACAGAATTAAAAAACGCATTGAATACTGTACAAAAAATTATACAGTTCTATTTAAACAAACTGGAGGTGACCCTGAAATCTTTGAGACACCGCTATTTTCGGGGAACTTACACATATCATGTGATGCATCATTCGAAACCAATTAATTCTTCCCAAAACAGTTTCTTCTCTATCTTCTACAGTTTTAACTCTACAGCTTGGCCCAGTTGTATGAAACACCCTGTATATACGATCGATCGTTCACGGGGGCGATCCAAGACCTCGCGTGCTGCGGGGGATCACCGTACACGACGAAACCGGTAAAAAACTGACACAGGGGCCCCTTTGGCCCGGGGTGAAATCAATTTTCAGGCGGCGGCGAGGAACGTTTTCGTTTGTCTCTCGTGTTTCGCGGAGGATGATACGTCCTCTTGGTTGCGTGCGAGCGCCGCAGCCGTCGCGGCCACCGAGATGAATTATTGCGCGTCCTGCGAGGTGTATTGTTGTTCCACGGTGTTGTTCGAACCGATGTCGGGGACGATGTTACGTCCAGCTCGCGCCGGTGGTCGGTATAACTTTCTTGGATCTGGCGGTCGCTCGACTCGGCCGACCTTTCGTCATCGCTGGATCGAGGCTCTTTATGATCGAAATGTAGGGGATTTTTTGTACTCAAAAAATATTCATTATGGTTGTTAAAAATTGTTAAAAATGTGGTCGTTATTTGTATTCGTATGAAATAGTTGCTAGGTACCCCTATTTTACGTGTAAGCATGTACAAACATTTTTCCGAGATTCTTTGCTCAATATACTGAATACCCCAAGCGTCACAAGAACGCAACAAAAACCGAAACGCAATGAAAAATGTCCCGAACCAGAAAGAATCTCTACATCGTGATCATCAAAGTTACCTCCGATGCAGTCCACCAGATTCCTCCGGGGGTTAAGAATCTCCGTGGCATTTCGATCTACATAAAAACACGACCGTGCCGAAATTTTACGCGTTCGATTTTATTGCCGGCAGTCGGACCCTGGGGGACGATCGTTTCCGCGGGACAGTTTTATCGGCCGATCGGAACGGCCAGTAACGGAAGTGCTGCGACCGGGTAATCTTTGCGCGGCGATAAAGAAGTCTCGAGAGAACTCGCTGGCGAACGAGTGAGGGGGGGGGTGGTGAGAAAAAAGGCACCTCTGGATTCCGAATCGATAATCGAGTCAAGGAGGGGCCGAAGCGCGGCGTGTAACGAGCGAATGATTACACGGCCGACGCGAGCGTAATGGCGCGCTGGCCTGGGGGACGTTAAAAAGAGCCGAGAAAACGCATCTCCTCGATTACTGCTCGCGGATACGTTTCTTTCCTTCTCTATCACGTCTCACCCCTCTTTTTCTATGCATCACGGATAACTGCAGAGAGGCGAAGCTGCACGCAACACGGTTGCCCGAGCGTGTGGAACGAGCGTCTAGCATAGTGATGGGCACCATCGACTAAATTAAACTATCGACTAATGACTATTTAGTCGGGACATACTATCGACTATTTAGTCGATAGTTTTTAGTCGACTGAAATTTTGCTTTATAGGTTATGTGTAGGTTATGTCAACTTTTCAACACCATTGGTGTATTTACCTTTTAGAAATGTATTAGTTCATAGATAGAATTTCAAAAATATAAGCGGTATACAAGTCCTCTTAAACAATTACTAATATTCGATTTTTTGTAAGCTATTTAATATTGGCACTTGAAAAATTAACTGCTCTAAATTCTTTATGCGAATCAATTAGGTTGTAAGTAATAATTTGCACAGTTCTTGGTAATGCATAAAAAGATATATGAAAAAATTGCAATCGGTTTGCATCACGATGAAAATAATCAAGATCCAGTCAATAGCGATCAATAGCTCGATAGTTCGAGCGAGTCGCTTGAAGCGACCAATTTTAATCGACTGAAAATAGTCGCTTCAAGCGACTAATATTAGTCGACTGAAAGTAGTCGCTTCAAGCGACTAATATTAGTCGACTGAAGTTAGTCGTTTCAAGCGACTAAAGTAGTCGACGATTGAAAAAATTAGTCGACTGAAAGTAGTCGTTGGTTACTATCGACTCAGTCGATAGTTTATAGTCGATGGTGCCCATCACTAGTCTAGCATAATAACCGAGATGGCACGGATCGGAAGCGATCGTCACCGTGCGCCGAGCGTCGCGAACCGTTAACCCGTTTCATCGATTATTCCGGACGTCGAAGACCGACACTTCCTCCTCCGCGCGCGCTGGAAGCCAATGTCGAGGATCGAGCGACGTTTTATCGGGGGCGTGGACGTGCCCGCGGATGCAACGGGAAGCTTCGACCTGGTCGTTGCGTGTTACGTATACGATAGGATTAATCCTGATGGGGCACTTTCGAAGCTTAGAACGCTCTGGTGTTATGGTATTTAGGCGGTGAGTGGCGAGATGGATTTGTTGACCTTTCTGTTTGGGTCAGGTGATGCGTCATGGGGATTTAGAATGTTGCGAAATTTGATAGTTGAGAGGGACAGTTGCAGAAATGTGAGTACAATTTTAATTTTTAAAAGTGTTACTTTTTGTGGTTTGTACTGATTACTATGCAAAATGATATTTATATAGGAATTCGTAAAAACTAGAAGAAAAGTAGGAATTTCTTTCTAGGGGATTCTTCTCTTAAGTATCTTATTGAGTTAAGAATGTTATAGAAAACTTTTTGCATCAGATCACACGGCACTTAACGTGTTACATAATTGAGGGAATTGGATTCTGTTTTTTTTTTCTGAAAACAAACTGTTGTATATGTGCTAGTTTAGTAAAGATTTTTCTTGTAGAATGGTATTTCTACCACCGTTAGTTCAAAGACTCCTGTCTCCTATTTGTGAATACTTGTAATTAATTAATTGACAATAAATGACCAAGAATCATTTCATACATTTCTCTTCCATCACAATAGTATAACGGAGTGTTGTATAATACAACACCAGGGTCCCTACTTGATTTCAAATTACACAGTATCGAAAAACAATAAAAAAACACAAACGACAACCAAACACCAAAAATATGCGCAGCCTGCCCTTGTCTGTTCTCGTTAACCCCTTCTTTTTCGACGACAAACGAGAAACACTTTCGTACACTCATATAAACAGTGAAAGTGATGACAGTGAAATACAAAATGACTCGACTAGTGTTGACAGTCACGAGTAAACTATTATTTACTCTCATTACTATTAGCCCGCGGATTTTATACATTTATCGCACACACTAAAACTCTGCAGTGAAAAAGTTAATTGAATGTTATATGTTAACTCCCGCGCCAATCGACTCCATCTTCCCCCCTTTAAAGCCGAATCAAATAAAACGTAAAGATTCCCGGTACCCGTTGAACCAACAGTAAAACCCACGACACCGAAACGACACAATCTCTCCCAGTCGTTCGTAGTAATTCGCGAGGACGAGCACGATCGTCGGTTACTCCGTATTCCCGGATCGTTACGAGCCATCGGCCGTCTCGATCGCACAGCGAGAGGGCCGCGTAAAAACGGTCGTCGATCGTGCGAGAGCGACGATGCTTGTTCAAGCTCCCGTCCAGAAAATCGCGGGACTCTCCGCTCGCGAGATACCCGCTCGATCGGGGACAATTTGACGAAAACACACGGGAATCACCGCCTACCAATCGTTCTCCCTCTTCTCCGTCCCTTGTTGACAGGGGGCAAGAACGAGATAGGAGGCTGGTCTCTTCGTTTAAGGGTCATAAAGCGCGACGACAAGGGCAGGCGGGCCGCGCGGCAAAAAGGGAGCAATAAAATGTAAATGTACTCACATTCCTTGTTGCGATCCATGGCGTGTTGAAGGGGCGAGTCGTCGACCTCCGCCTTCGGCGGGGACTGATTACCCTCGGCCATCTCCGCGCCTCCGCTGCTCGCTGATCCTGGAACACCACCACCCGCGGTCTTCCTTCCCGCCGCCACGTCCGCCGCTTTATCCTGCTGCGGCGAGGGCTTCGTCCCTTTCTTACCGTTTCCAGCGTCCCTGCAGGTCCGATCGTGGACCGAAACGAGCAAAAGGTTTCGCGTTTTGCGAATTAATCTTTCATACGTTGCTTCGAAGAGGATAAACGAGGAGAGGGAACGATCCGAGAAAAGAGGGACAGAGGGGTTAGGTTAAGAGGGATAGAAGAGGACCGTGAACACGAGACTGGCGAAACACGAGTGTCAATCGGTCTCGGCCCATCCAATCCTCCCCCTCTGGACCCTCGTGTTTTTACCGATGATGAAGGAATGACGGATCAATCGACACTCGATCGAAACCGCTCGATGGACGTTTTCATCAGAAAGCGGCGAAAACGACCACGTAGGACCTCTCCGAGCGACCGTGAGTGACTGACCCCTTTGGTCGCCAAGGCAAGAAATTTTAAGGTATCGTGGTTCCAGGGCAATCTGGTCCCGTGAGGTTCTAGTAGATATTATGGGCGACCACGGTGTTGGGTTTTTCGGGGGCGAGGGATTAGTTTTTGCTGGGACATGCGAACCTTGAACTGATTTAGTCGTTTTAGAGATTGGTCGATGGGTTTCGCGTTGTTTTATGTCGTTTTGGAGGGATCCTAGGACGTTCGGCTGTGAAAGGGGAATGGTTTTGTTTGGATTACTGTATATCCACTTTTAGATATATATTACAGATTCATGTATGTATTGATTATTTGCTGCAATTACATAAGTAAATATTTGCAGTTTTTGATTTACTTTTATCGGTTGAGTCCTTAAGAGAGATCCCAAAAATTTTCATGTATATACGTAAGTGAAGAAGTTCGTTAATTTATCGATCTGCCTATTTTCGACAAGCTGTCCCTTTAACCAACATGACAGAAATAACAACGGGTTCATCTTCGGTAGTTCTAGTGTCAAACAGTTAATGAAATTAAATAATGGTTTGCCAAGTGTCTACTCATACAAGAAATATTATTTTACTATAAAAACTGGAACTTCCACGTTCAATCAATTAAAAGCGTCCATCTACTTTTTTTTTTTTATTCGTTACTCCAAACACTTTATCTAGATAATAAATTTGCCCATCTCCGCTTTCACTTAACCCTGTCACTATAATATTTTTTACATCCAGATAGTGGTCCAGATAAAGACCCAACACCATCGTCAAAGTAAAAATGATGCCACTAATAAGATGCTTAATTTGCATTTACAATTTACATATTGCTAACAGCAGCTTCCAAACATTCCAAAGGATACTACACGCGGTAACTGCGCTCCATTTGAAACTCGATGAAAAAAGAATTGAAAGCACCGTCGTAAAACGTTTTCATTAAGAACACTAATTTCCCTAAAAGAGTTCGCGGAAAAAGGTCCAACAAAAGCGTCCAATTAAACTTTATCAGAGAGACCAGCTACGCGAGAAGGTAATTTCGAAACGCCCAGCAACTTTGTCTCCGTCCGCAGCCCGCGTTATCGAGTTCTTTATTAAACGATATTTACAGGCGCGCGGTAGCGCCTCGCGAATCTCGGAAGCCGTATCTCGTGTGGCTCCCCGCGTAATTCGCGAGATGATTTACGACGCAAGATTACCAGCGACGAAGGCATCGATACGTTTATATCTCGCGGCGTTCCACCGTCTTTCGTACGAATCTCCATGAAAACGAATCCCAGCCGAAAACGTTCTTTCCCCATTAAACGGTACTTACCCGACTGAATTTTGTAACAGCCGTTAAGAAACGTACGATCGATAAAATATGAAATATAACTGGAAATTTAAATTTAAATTCGACGCTGTAAAATACTTTGCGCAATACACGAAATGTTCACTGAACCGGACGATTAATCAAGTATAACTGCCGACTGTTTAATACCCGAATGGATCGAAGAAATCGCTCGTCGAAATTAAAAAACTACTCAAGGATTCCCGATGCAAGTGAAGCATCTTCGTTTCTCGAACTTAAACTGTCCACCTTTCCGTCCATTAATCGAACGAAACTCTTTGGAAGAATATTCAAGGTGAAACGAGGGATCAAATGACGTTTCTTTTTTAATCTATACAGTCTGAAACGGAGGGATATCCTTGACCAGTCGTTTAATTATCAAACCGTTGATATACTGTAATTAACGACACTCTCAAGGAGGGTGGACAATTTATGCTCCCAGCACGGGTATATGGGAGGCGTTCGTGGACGTCGAACGAAACGATCGGGGGACCCTCGATATTCCCTTCCGTGTACGTAAAACCGGGTCATATTCGACCGTGGTCGTCGTGGCCGAATAAAATGTCACGCTGGACAGATAAGCTTGGCGGCCGTAACCGCGCCGGAAAGTTCAGATAAAATTACAGGTGGCCGATTAAATATTTTCAGGCGGCGGTTTCTTCGACGAAGAGACTCGTCACCGGCACAGAGATAGGAAGCCGGTCGTTAGGACCGTTTTACGGTCTCGCGGGGGCCGATTACGCGGCGAGGCGATGTTAAATTACGGGGTTGAACGGGGCCGGTGAGCCCGTGGAAAGCTGGGTTTCCACATGCGTCCAGGCAACGGGTTTATCTCGTCACTCGCGATTTCCCAAGGACGGCCCTCGACCACTTAATAGAAATAATCTACGTGAGCTGGGACATTACGATGGGCAAGGTATATTTTAATGTTATCGGACTATGGACGTTGATACTATTAAACCATTAGACGTTATTTTTTAGGGGATTTACCGTGGTTTTTTTGGTTTCTTTTCTCTTGGTGTTACGCGGTGTTTATGATTTTTACTTTGAAAGGGGCGTATTACGTTCGTTGGAATGTGTTTTCGGTGGATATGAGAGGGATCAGTCACTCGGGGAGATTCTTTTCAAAGGGATGATTTCATTATTTTTGGGATAGATTCATGGGGTGAATTCTACTATAATAATAGTAAAAGAATAGTAATTAAGCTTCGAATTCTGAAGCAATTAAAGTGGATTACTTAAACGAAAGGCTTGTTAACACTCGGAACGACGGACTGTTGTGATTCTGTGGGTCTGTTTTGACCAAGTTGCATCATTGCTTTTAACCCTTAACAACCTAGTAGTGTCCGACCAACACATTTTGATATTTATAATAATTTATATCACGCTGTTCACTATATTTTAAAGTATACCGAGTTGTTAAGGGTTAAATGCATTCTTGAACAAATTTCTTTTTACTTGAATTAATATAAATAATTACGGACGAAGTTCTTAAAAACTCTGGTCAAACTGACCATTGTCGTCCGAGGGTTAATAAAATGTCCTGTTTAACTAGAACGTAACTATCTAGGTCAGACCATAAGAAGTACCGTATCAGCAGTCAAATTAATTATCAATACTAAATATTACAGTAATAAAACAGTTATTATCTCCACGCTCTCATTCTATCTCCAGTTAACTTGACAAAACTATTTAAACGAGCTTTAAATGTAATCTTTTTTGGTCTGGCCGCAATCATATCCAACTTAACGGAGCACTAACAGCTTCTGTAATCCAGTTTAATTATTCCAGACAGGGTATCAATGATGTAATGAACGTCGAGCAAATAATCACACCTCTCGTCTTTGGATTCGCGCCTGGCTTCCTTCCTGTCCCTCTCTCCCTTGTCCTTGAGGCTGTCCGCCTTCTTCGCCTTGGACTTCGATTTGGGATCACCTTTGGCGACCTTGTGCTCAAGGACGGTGCTGGAGTCGACGGCTATGCTGCCCTCGGTGTTCAACTGACCGCCGCCGGAAGTGCTCGACGTAGATGAGGTCGTGGCACGGGCGTTAGTGTAGTCCTGCACGAGGAGCGCACCTCGTTATCCGGGATTCGTTCAAGGACGCTGGAACGCCTCCGATTCACGAGGGGACGAGAAAGGACAAGCAGCTTACCTTAAACCACTCCGGGTATATCGCGCTGATGGTGTCCAGAAGATCCTGGTCGAGCTGAATCCTCCAGAACGGGGAGCCGCTGTCCAACCTGTGGCCAGACTCTGCAACAACAACGAAACAGCGTCATTACAGCTTCGTTATAATTGATTTATACAAAAATTGCCACCAATTCTTTTCTCGTGAAAGTCACTATTGACTCTTCGTTCTAACATTTTTATTAATCTACAGCATAGATTCTTGAAGTGGGTGTTACCACTCACCTGTGGAGATTGAGGAAATCTGGAGGGCGTTGTAGTTATTTGATTTCTTTTTATTTTTAATTTAGCTTCTTGAGATTCAAAGATTATTACAGTTGGAAAGTTTGATAATAGAAATAGGTTACCCGATGGGGGCGCTGAATAAAAAAAACTTTGAAAAGGTGAGCCAAATAAGTTTCAGAAGCTATGATCTATAATATAACTAGGACAGGCGTAGACACGGTTACATATCAATGAGGATAAAGGATGCACAGAGTAATAGTAGATAGTATACAGTATATTAACGATGGGTGTTCGAAGACTCCTCGGCACTGAGTGTTTAGACGCCATTACCACCACTAGGGGGAGTCCCCCTGGAACCAGTTAAGCGTCCAATGGTCAGGATGATATCTGAACACTCAGTGCCGAGGACCCTTCGAACAGTCATCGATGATTTACTGTAAATAACCACAGACCCAAACTGTTTGCCTCAGACCGTCTATATAATGTAAAATTCAACGAAACATCAACTGGAACGACCTCGAAACAACACCTACCCAGAGACAAAGGGATAAATCCTTCGAACAACAGTACCGTCCTAATCGACGCACATCAGTATACATCGTCTCCTATCCACACCAATAAAATCCTCGAAGAACAACAGACAGTTTTTCTAACGAGGTTCGAGCTCGATGGATCGGTCGACCTCGTCGATCACAGGGGGGCCGAATTCGACCGCGATTAAATATAGGATTTAGTGCGTGCAACCGTACGCGACCCACCGCGCGAAGGCTGACCGGTTGGGCCCTTAGGAGTCATTCCCACCGCATAAGGGCTAATGGTACCCCCGACGACCAATAGCCCGAAGGCGTATCAAAACCTCGCGGAATGCCGGTCGGACGTTTCTTTCGTGGATTCCGCGGGATTCCCTGCCTAATTTAAACGTTCGTGGGCCCGCCGTTGGAAGGGATCACCTATGGACACGGAGCAGACGAAGGACGAGAAGTCCCTCTCTGTCTTCCTTGGGTTGGCCAGTCCCCGTGTAGGGGGACGAGGGGACGGGGGATGGAACACCTCGTTACGACGACATTCTACGGGCGAGACGCGTGCCCTGCCTTCGTGATCGAGCCACGGAACTGGGGAGGGGGGCAGAAGAGACGGAGATCGGAAAAAGGAGGAAGAGGGCTCCCGCGGGACTTTCGGACTCCTTACCGACAGAAAACACGGGTTCGGAACAGTCCTTGATCTCGGCCTCTTGAATATCCACGGGAAAAACGCAGTTTTCTCAGATCCCTTCCATTTTTTTTTTTTGTCTTCGCCCGCGGACCTTCGTTAAACGATCACGAACCTATAAGGCGATGCTCCCGAGATGACTGAATTTAGAGGTAGGCTTCGTATTGCTTAGCGAACTTTTGATATCGAGAGGTTCTAGAAACTAAATGAAATAATTGTAGAGAGTTTAGATTGAGAAATTTTTAAATCGATAATACTTTGACAGATTGGAGACAGTTTGATATTTAAATAAGAAATGAAGCTTCGCTACTGACTTATTATTCTTAACCCTCGACTGACGGCAATTGGGTCCACATATTCCAGCAAAAAAAAAAAAATAATATAATTTCTATACGAAGTTCTGGGACCAGTCCGAATGATCGACTGATGCAGAGTTAGGCGATCAGTTCAGGCGAAAAGGGGTCAGTTACACCAGGGGAACGGGATGATCCCGATCGGTTAGCGAAGGGAGAAGAGCACGATTTCACCTTAACCCAATAAATGATTAGTGGGCCATGGCGGTACCGGGTAGAACGGAATAAATGCTCAATCAGTATGCGCACGCCGGACAATCCGCTGTAAATCACGCCGTGAATCATTCGTCGACATAAATCCTAGTCTGTCCTCTCTCTCTCTTCCCCTGGTGTCTGATCAATGCGATCCCAACCGGTCCGACACATTAGTTAAACGCTGTACATGACGTCGTTTACGGGACACGTCGCTGGTCCAGCCCCTAAGAATCTCTCGGTTCAAGCATAAAAACCGTCGACGATGCCAACGGCCTAATAGCCGCCGATTCGAGAGGAGGACGATCGGAAACGATACATCACAGGCCGATCCGTGATGCCTCGATCGGATAACGCACCGATGCCTTCGACAGAACCTCGAGATCGGGGACTATTGCTCACGGTTAACGACACCTTTCACGTATACCTTTCGATGCTCAATATTTAATTGTGCCAGATGTCCAGCTCTATTCGAGCCCTGAAATTCCATCGAGTATATTTCAGAAATTCTAGTGTGAAGGTCTTCTAACTATGTCGATCTTATCCATTTAACACTTTCAGACGAAACTGTTCGTGTCACGAGAAACGCGTTCTATATTAATAGCAAGGGACCGTAACCCTGCTATGGACTGGTTCCCGAGGATCCAAAGGTCCTCCGCGTATAATTACGATAATATAGAGATACATCGACTTCGATCTTCCCGATCGAATACTAATTTACCTTCCGTATCGTTTCACCTATACATCATCCCAATGAGCTCTGTCAACGGCTACTGGTTTCACGCAGACCGCGGGAAGGACGTTCCACGACTAGTTCCCGTCCGACGGCAAAAACTGGCGTCGATCCCAGCTGAAAGCCACCGTATCCTCGCGAGAACGGAGTCGTCGGCACACGATCGGCCTGTGTCCGTCGTCGCAAGAACGAACACGGTATCCCAGGGTCCACGAAAACAATAACAAACCCACGGATGACTGGGCCTCCGTCGTCGCTGATCGAACCAGGGACCCAGAAACGTTCACCGATCTACGGGAACATATTCCATGGAAGATCCCGAATGCGAAATGCATTCCTTGGAAGCAACCACGGGCTCGCCAGGGCCCGTCGAAATTCGGGCAAATAAATCTCGCGCTTCGATCCCACTCCCCCTCCTTCCAACGTCTCGTCCTCACCCTCACGGAGAGACCTCTTCGATTCGCGTCGCCGGCGTCTTCTTCGTCGTCGTCGTCGTCTTCTTGTTCTTCTTCTCGGCTCGTGATCCTTCGATCTTCGATCCACTTGCACACTGACAAGCCCGTCCGCGGAACATGCTCGCGAGTATACGTACACGTGTACGCGTCCACACGAGGACGAGCGTGGGTTATACTGGGTGGCTTCGTTTTCGTGGACGCTTTCGAGAGGGTTTCGGATGATCGGTACGTTTACAATTAATTTCTTGTCTTGCGATTCCCTCGACGTATTCGGTCTCGAGAATTAGCTTCGTTATCGATAATCTTCCAAAACCCAAAGAAATTCTGTATTTATCGCAACTATTCATTTATATAAAAGATTAACGACATATTTGTGTATTGGGATTCCTTGACCATTCTAGTACATTTTAATCTAAACTAGCGTATCACTCGTATAGATTAATCATTTATGCTTCTTTTTATTCAAAACAGATAGAAGTAATCTGATCTTGTGTCGGCCACGCGAAAATGGTGCCTTTATATTAAGTAGTATTTAAAGCAATTGGTATTAAATTTATACAAATACTATTGTAAATTGCATATTTTCTTACGATTTTTCAATAAAAAACAGTCAAACCATACATATGAATCGAACCAACCTATACAATTAACCAAAATAGTAATAAGAAATAATAAATAATAACAAAATAATTAATTCTAAAACTTTTAAGTTTTGGAAGAAGTTCTGGAATTAGTTCCAATTTTCGCCACCAAATACACAATTTACGATAGTATTTGAATAAATTTCACAATTGCCTTAAATACTACTTATATATATATACGAGTTTACAATATATTTGTAACAATATGTTAAATATTATTCAGACTTGTAACAATAAAAATAATTCCCTTTTCTGTAACTTGTAAATCTTCCGTACGATTTTCAAAGCTTCGTATGGAATAGTTTCATACATTTGTCGTCGAAATTTTTATGCGAAGCAAGACAGATCACGAGTCGTGATTCACGAAATATTTGTGTGTGAAGAAAATGATAGATACGTGCTCTCATTCACACATTTCACCCACCACTGCCATATGCCCGCATGCTGCACGTTGTTACCATCACTGTTCTAAGGCAAGTGGTTAAACCTTCTTCGCCGAGTAACTATTCACTCAAGAAACAATATTATCTTATTACAGAAATCCTAATTTCGACGTTCAATCAATTAACACTAGAACTACCAAGCAAGTCAAAAAATGACTTACAAATAAACTCCAAACAAAATACACTCGTACAACGACGATTAAAATGTTATGACAATCCTTTTTCTCAGATCCTCTGCACCTTTTATTACGATATGAAAGTGAAGAAATAAGTCAATTTCTAAATCTTCCAAAGTTTTTCACGTTTATCCACCGAATGCGTTTATCGTTAGTGCCAGATCCAACAAATATTTTTCCATCTTCCATTCGTCATTCGAAACTTTTCACCCAGAATTTATCCACCTTTCCGTACCACGGAACACCAAATCGGTTGATCCATATGGGAAAAGTATCGTCGCGACCGCTTCGCGATAAACACCCTGTACAAGACGGTATGGTGTACACGTGGACAGGTAGGCCCCAGTGGAGGGCACGTGTGCGTGTGCACGCATGGTGCGTACGTACAGCTCCAGGAGCACGTGCGTGTTCGCCCTTGCACAGTTCAGATCTGTAGAGGCTCTGAGTCACTCTCTCGTCAGGGCCCTGCGCTCTGGTAGCCGCGAAAAACTGCACGCTGCACTTCGGGAATGTCGTTGGCATGTACAGGGTGTTCCCCTTTGCCGCTGCCGTCTGGCCGGGCCGACAAGAACGGCAACGGTTCGCATCGGGATTTCTCTTCCCCCTTTCTTTCTCTCCCTTTTTTTCCACCGTCGTTCCCGTGGCCCTTTCGAAGAAACCGCCACTCGCCGTTCGAATCTTCCTATTATCGACGTGGCCGGAGCTGTTTGCACCGGGGAAATCTCTTTTCCTGGAAAAGTCGTTTCGAGA